CGCCGTATGGTAGCGGCGTAAAATCTACCACCCCCTTAGTTCGCACCATGAGCCTAGTAGAAAAAGAAATGGCCCCGAGTTCCCGGCGCCCCTTTAATGGGGCAGGGGTGCGAAGAATCTCCGGGAGAAAAACCGGCGACGAGGTTCGCCACCCGTCACGTCCTGTCTCCCGGGGGGGCGAAAAGTGGATTGCGGAGGCCCGTCTGGTTACGCTGAATGTATGTGGAGCAATGAATGATAAGATGGATGAAGTATGCGAAATGATGAATGATAGAGGAATAGATGTGTTATGTGTAAACGAGACGAAACGAAAGGGAAGAGATGTCACTGCACATGGCATGTATACCGCTTACTGGTCTGGAGTAGACGAGACCGAGCGGGCATGCCAGGGAGTCGGTGTCATCCTTTCAGAAAGAATGGGTCAATGTGTGAAAGAGTATGAATGTGTTAGCCCAAGGCTGCTGTGGATACGAATGAAAGTGGGCTTAAAGAAGTTGTTTGTGCTAGGGGTGTACGCCCCAGATATGTCTAAGCCCACTTATATCCGAGAGCAGTTTTGGGACATGGTAAGGCTGGTGTTGATGAAATGTAAGGAAAATGAAAATATTATTATGTTAGGAGATTTTAATGGAAGGGTGGGGGTGAAGAGGTCTGGTTATGAAAGGATATTAGGAACGTTTGGCGATGAAAGAATAAATGAGAATGGTGAAGACCTCCTCACCGTATGTGTGGAAAAGAATCTTTTTGTGGCGAACACTTTCTTTCGCCATAAGAGGATTCACATGTATACATGGGAAAGAGGGGATGATAGAAGCATGATAGATTCTATAATTGTGGATGAAAGAATGAGGAGCGCAGTGGTAGATACAAGGGTTTACGAGGGGTCCAACGTAGGGACGGATCATTACTTGGTCTTATGCCGAATTAATGGTCTATTCAGACGTTGGCGGCATCGGACATCGGTGTCTACCACTGCGTTACAGCGTATAAGAATAGAGAGGTTACAAGATGAAGGTGTGAAAGAGAAGTATAAATGCAGACTGAGGGAAAATATAAGTGGGTTGAATGAATTATGTATGAATGATTTAGAATTGAAGAATGTATGGAATAATATTAAGAGAGTTCTGGTGGATGCAGCCACCGAAGTATGCGGTGTAAGTAAGAGAACGAATGAAAGGAAAAGTAATACGTTGTGGTGGGATGATGAGGTACGGATGGAAGTTGAAGCAAAGAAGAGAGCATGGCTAGATTTACTAGCAACTAAAGCTGGCAATGCTGGCGGTATGAATTATGAGATTGAAAGAAAAAAGGCAAACTTTAGACGTATAAATAAGAGAGTAAAAGAAGTTGTTGAAAGGAAAAAGCAAGAAAGGATAGATAAAAATGATAGAAGGATATCTGATAACTTCCAGGAAAATATTAAAATGTTCTGGAAGCTCGTAAGAACTGCCAGGGGAATTTCAAAACAGCCTAGAATGAATGCTATACGAGACGAGAATGGCTGCATGCTGAATGATGAAGTTTCGAATTTAAAGAGATGGAAGGAATACTTTGAAAGCGTGTTTAAGAGTGAAGAGTCGTCTGAAATAAGTGAAATAGAAATTCCGGAAGAAGTGGAGAGAGGTAGGGAGATAAGTGTAGATGAAATAATGAAAGCAATGAAAAGCATGAAAGCAGGTAAGGCAGCCGGATATGATAGAGTATCACTCGAAATGCTAAGGGCTGGTGAGGGTGTGGTTGCAGGCCTGCTGCACACCTTGTTTAATTTATGTTGGGAACTGAAACGGGTACCGGAAGACTGGTGCAAAGCCGTTATAGTCCCAATATATAAGGGAAGGGGTCGCAGCAGGACTGTAAAAACTACCGTGGTATCAGCTTGCTTAGCATTGTGGGTAAACTGTATGCTAAGGTGTTAATTGAAAGAGTTATGGAAGAAACTGATGGAAAAATTTGGGATGTGCAAGCTGGATTTAGAAAGGGGATGGGGTGTACGGATCAAGTCTTTTCCATGCGCATGATAGCGGAGAAGTTTTTGGCTAAAAACCAGAAAGTTTTTTGTGCGTTCTTGGACTTGGAAAAGGCTTATGACAGAGTGGACAGGAACGTGTTATGGCAAACACTGAACTCATTTGGGTTGAGCGCTGGCTTGATACAGGCATTAAGGTCTCTTTATAGGGACTCTAGTGCTTGTGTCAGGATCAACGGGGTCTACTCGGACTGGTTTGGCATTCATAAAGGTGTCAGACAGGGATGTGTGGCTTCCCCGTGGCTGTTTAACCTATTTATGGACAGTTGTTTGCAAACTTTGAAAGTTGAAGAATGTGGGTTGAGAATGGGTGAGTCAACCGTCAAATGGCTTTTGTACGCCGATGATCAAGTCATATTTGCATCGTCGGCGGCCGAGTTGCAAATGATGGTTACTTTAATGAATTGTTCATTGAAAGAAAGGGGTATGAAAGTGAACGCAAGTAAGACGAAAGTGATGGTTTTTGAAAGAGAAGAAAGTAAAACTTTATGTAAAATAAGAATAGAAGGGGAGTTGATTGAGCAAGTGGATGAGTTTGTATATTTGGGATGTTTATTTAGCAGGGATGGTAGATATGATAAGGATATAGAACGACGAGTGAACGCAGGAAATAGAGTGAATGGGGCTCTACACGCTATTGTGAGGAGTCAGAATGTGTCAACTAAGGCACGTATGGCAATTCAGAATGCTGTGTTAGTACCCACTTTAATGTATGGTAGTGAAAGTTGGGTCTGGCAGAAGAAGCATGAGAGTAGAATAAATGCTGTAGAAATGCGTTCCTTAAGGAGTATGCTAGGGCTGAATCTGAATGACAGGGTGAGAAATAGTGTAATAAGAGAAAAGTGTGGTTTGCAAGATGACGTTGTGACAAGGATTAAGAAAGGAATGCTTCGGTGGTTTGGTCACGTAGAAAGAATGAACGAGGAAAGAGTGACAAAGCAAATTTATGTTGCAGAAGTGAACGGCAGGGTCGGGAAGGGACGCCCTAGACGAAGGTTTAGCGACCAGATCGGCGATACATTGAAAATGGGCCAGATTAGGAGTACTCTTTACCGACGAGCGTGTATGCGTAGATATATGGATGTGAAAGAGGCGAGAGAGGTGTGTCAGGATCGCGCCAAATGGAAGTCCGTAGTCTCTGCCTACCCCTCTGGGTGACAGGCGTGAGTGTTTATGTATGTATGTATGTATTTATATATAAAAACATATCTGACATACAAATTATAAAACGAACGCTTTTGTGCCTTGACAAACACTAGACACACTATAAAAAAAGGAAAATTTGAAATCACACGAAATCACTGCTTATTCAGTCAATCTCACAGTAATAAAATAGTATATATTTTTCAGTAACATTTAAAAAAGTCTTTGGCGACAACTCTACTCTGTGCGACTGTTTGACCACAGACCATTAAGTGTTTGACATTGGCCGTAAATTAATAACATAGGTAGTACTTACCCTGCAACTTTGGCAGTATGAACGTAAGCAATTTAAATTATAATTATAATATTCAGTATTTGTAGCACGTATTATATTATATTAACTGTTAACTGTGCCAAACCTCACACTCCTTCGTGCGCGTAATATGCTTGAAAAGGAGTGCGAGTTTCCTCCTCACATATCAAGAACAACACCGCAACAGCTTCAACCTCCATCTTGAAATATGACATATTTCCACCTAGTTCATTGTCGTATCTAGGTAAACACTAGTAACCACATTACATCACGCGGTAATTTAGACAGTAATTTATTGCCATAATTATTGCGGTAAACGGGTGGTAGACGGTAAGATAGTGTGTCCGTAGATTAAGAGAATTCGTCACCCTAAACACGCGCTAGATATGCACTATTAGTGTTTGGTGTACTCAGCCTTTATACAACATTAAGTGATTCGCTTTTTTTTATTTAATTTGTAATCCAGATTTTTAAACGTGGTAGAGCCATGCTGCAGCAACATTAATTATATAATCGACAGGGGAAAGGACCACGCTCTCACAGAATACCAGCGTAAAATACAGAATACCAGCGTAAAATAGCAGCTTAATGCTGCTGTGTTTCGTATGGTGAATGTAGAGAACCGGAGACACTTTCTACTGGAGACTGACATCTGCATTTTGATTTGCAAACGAGGATAGATGTAGATGTCTATGGGCCACGGCAGCCACTTACCATCAGATGGACTGCGTGCTCGCTTGTCACTCCTATCCTACAAAAAAAAATTGTCTCATTCCGCATATATTTTTCAATATTCATTTTTTTTACCAAAAGAAATGTAAACATTTTCAGATGACAGCAATTATAAAGCTTTATCGATAAATGTTTACGAAACAAAATGTATTTGAGAAAAACATTTGTGACAGACAGACACTGAGGTGATTCCATAAGAATGATGTTTGGCTATTGGCACCGAACACTAACAACATGAAATAAAATCTCTGATCTATTCTTTGCTACCATAATAAAATTTGTTTCACTGTCAGTTCATTGATCTTACTGTTTAATATTGCTCTGTGTGCACATTCTATACATTTGCCGCGTTTTTACTTTTGCCTTTTGTCTTCTAGTTGATTGTCTATCGCACAATTGATTGTTTTGATGGTCAATCAATATTCTCTCGGCTATATGCGACATCTCACTAGCATCAGCGACTTCTGTTAATACGGATAACGTTTCTGTTTTGTTAGTTTTTTTTTATTATATATAATTTTGCTAATTATTAATGTATATGAACAGTTGTGATCTATATTTAAGCTTAGTTTATGCTGTCAGTCTATATTTTCGTAGATCATATTCATAATATAATATTCTAATGTCTTTTTTTGCTTGTTACAGATACACGAAGTAAAAATGGGAACTCAACTTAAATCCGAAAATAAATTATCCGAAGAATTATAGTGAAACATTAGTTAGCTTGACATATTTCATTAATACAAGAAGATCTTTTGTTATCTGTGTCAATTGAAATCAGTGTATATGTGTGAGAAGACGGGACTTGATAATAAAATGACGAATATCACTCCGGAGACGAGGATCATGATGATGAGGTCTGCGGACAGCAAAGACGGCTACCGGAGACAGGTTTGTATTTTTTTTTTTTATATATTGTAGTACTCAGACCTAATTCAACTTAAGAAGTGAATGCTGTGGATGGTCTCCAATGAAACTTTTGTTTACGTGGTAGAGCCATGCTGCAGCTATATTATGGTTGCAACATGAATGGGTCGGCTTGACCGAGGTAGGGCCATGCTCTCACGAATACCAGCGAAAAATATCAGATTAATACTGTGCTGTGTTTCGTATGGTGAATGTAGAGAACCGGAGACTTTTTACTTGGAACGGGGCATTACTTTGGGGTGACAACGCATCTGCATATTGATTCTTAATTGAGGATAAATGTAGATATCTATGAGCCACAGTATCCGCTTACCATCAGATGGACTGTGTGCTCGTTTGTAACACTTATTCTATAAAAAAAATTATTTGTTTTACCTTTGTGGACAGAGACGGAATGATTTGTTACCAGTAAAATGGGCCTCCATGTAAGATACAGTGCATAAGCTAAACATTGTTGCAAACCAATTAAAAAATGCGTGCACCATCACCGTCACCACTAATCACTAACCACCACTACACGGGGAAAGACTATACAGAGTTATTTTGCAATAACCGGCCAAATTTGCAGAGAAGGTTCAGAATAAGTAATATAGGCATATGGCGGAGAAAATGAATATATATAATTAAAAAATATATCAGAAAATGACTGTCATTTTTATCTATTAAATTCAAAATGCGTGGTAATGCATTATTTTAACTGATTTTACCGCGTACGCACACAATCATAAGGGTCGGTCGGTAGTCAAAAACGTTGTTGCCCATAAATCACATTCCTTATTTACTCGTATTTTCAAAAACTGCAATAACCGTGTATCATTTTTTATATATTTGAACTTAAGTTTAAAATTTGGTTACAAAAATAACCATATATACTGAAGTCGATATATTAGACAATTTTAAGATCTTTCCTAGGAAAACATAGTATTGTAAAATAATGATTTCTTATATTTACGCGAACACTACACATTGAATAAAACTATTTTTACGAATTTTATCGCGTTTAATTAACTTATTTTATATTCCCGACATTTCGGTTGCTTTCCAGAAACCGTGGTCACGGGGGATTGAGGTGATTGACGTCCTGATGTCAGAGTTAAACCGGAGTACCTTCAGCTTTTTTAATTAATAATTTTGGTCCGATCTACGCAGAATGAACTAACTGTGTCTTGAAGTCTTGCAGTGGTATGCTTGGGTTTAGTTTTAATTTTATGAATTACAGGATCCCAAGCAGGTGGTAGTACCCAGCCTCCCTCTCTATTGAAATTGGGATGTTTTTTAATTTCAATAGCCTCACGTATCATCCTTGGCAGGAATCGATGTTCTTTCGCGAGAACTTGTGGTTTATCAAATCTAATGTCATGGCGGGGGCCGTCTAGGATATGATCACAAACTGCAGACTTCCCGGAAGGTTGGTGCTTCACGTCAGATATGTGTTCTTTTACGCGGGTTTTTATAGATCGTTTTGTTTGCCCTATATATCAACCTCAGTCCCCCGTGACCACGGTTGCTGGAAAGCAACCGAAACGTCGGGAATATAAAATAAGTTAATTAAACGCGATAAAATCCGTAAAAATAGTTTTATTCAATAGTATTGTAAAATAGATGATGAAAATGGTAGATAAATTCAAAGCTATGAAGTTCGCGGATCTGATCTGCTGGAGCAAGGTGGCCATAAATCACCATATGTTCGTTCTATCACGGAATTAAGCGGCCAGTGACCATCAGTAGCGTTTGAAGAGACCACCCAGCTTGAAGGAAACAGTTCCAAGTGGAGAAGTTTTGATTTATATTTTTTGTAAAATTATCCTCTGTTTCATAATATGTGGCTCGTGTGGTAGCGGTGTAAGAATATCGACTACCACACACATATCATCCCGCGGGTGTCGTGAGAGGCGACAGAGGGAAACAAATCAAGAAATGGGCAGCAGCGTCTTCCTAATAACGACTAAAAAAATAAAACTACGGTTGCGAACCCGCTTGCCAAGTGTGGCAACTATGGCAAATGTCCCATTTATGAAGGAATGTATGAGGGGGACTTTAATAGGCTGTAATGGTTATAATATGTGGTTTACCGTTACTTATTCTGAGTGATGGCTTTTTTAACAGGAGATACGACTTACAAAGACATTGTTTTATTCAGTGTTTTTTTTATATGTTGTTTAGTGTACATCAATAGTTTCTTTCGTATTCTTCTTTAAAAAAAAAACTTTATCACCACACTAGGACTTTCTCGTGTATCACTGAGGCAGTTTACAAACATAAAAGAAAATATAAAACAAATGACAAAAATCCAGATCCGAAATAATTATTTGTACGCCATACAAATACTTGTACCGTGCGGGAATCGAACCCGTGGCCCGTGACTCATTGCTACGCTACTGCGCCACGGAGCCGTTAATTTATGTTTATGCTTAAATACAGTTTATCTTTAGACTATTCCGTATGTCGAACGTCGAATATAATTAACTCCTATAGGATACGAATCTAAAACTATAACTTTTTAAATTATAGTTTCATCTATAAGTTAATATACGTGATAGAGCCATGCTGCAGCTATAATATGGTTGTAACACGGATTTGGTGGACTGTGTGCTCGTTTGTCACCCGTATTCTATAAAAAGGTAGTCATTATCCATATCTACGATACGTCGTTGCCTGAAGTAAATTAAAATGAAATAAAAAATTAAAAAGATAAACTTGCCAGTAAGGAATGCTTATTAAAATAAAATTAGCTACTTGACAGTCTTTAAATATGACAGGATAATGCATAGATCCAGTTAATTCAACAGTGAACCGGAAGACATTACTAATATTGTCCTGCGAGCACTCTACGAACTATTTTAGAGTCTATTTACTTGCGTTAACATCGTCATCAATCTTCATAATCTATAGTCGTTTCACAGGCTAAGCCGCGCGATCAATTATACGTAATTTATAGGTTATATTTGTCAAAAGAACAACATTGCTATTTTATTTTATTTAACGCAACATACAAACAAACTATCAAGCCTTAACAAGTGGTATGGTTGTCGAGAGTAGTGGGATTTCTCTATACAAGATTCTAATTTAAGGTTTTTACGTTGGTCGAACGTCATGATGGTTTCTAGAGAAGTAACAAGTTGGAATAGTTGTTGCGTATGGTTTCGCTAAATTAAGGCTCTTATGGTACGTCATAGAGCCAGCAATATTATGGTTGTATTAATGAGTCGGTTTGACGAGGAAAGTTTTTTTATAGGAAAGGGAAATAAGCAAGCACACAGTCCACCTGATGGTAAGTTTTTGCTGTGGCTCATAAGCATTTACATCTATCGCCGTCCTCTACACTCACCATACGAATCACAGCAGCATTAAGCTGCTATTTTACGCTGGTATTCTGTGAGAGCGTGGTCCTTCTCTGGTCGAGCCGACGCATTCGTGCTACAACTATACAATTAATATAGCTGCAGCATAGCTCTACCACGTATAAACCATTGACCACACTCTCACAGAAAACTAGCGTGATATTTCGTATGATGAGCGTAGAGAAAGGGAGACCCTTTTTACCAGAAACAAGGTAATCTACCTTTGTACAAAGGGCAACGCAACTGCATTTTTATTCTTGACATTTTCACTGGCCGATTTTCAGACACTATAGTAAGACAATAGCAATGAACTATATATAGTGCAAGGATTAGCGAAATGGTTAATAGAGGATAAATGTAGATGTCTATAGACCACAGCATCCACTTATCTGGTGGACTGTGGTGCTCGTTTTCCACCCTTATTCTGTAACAAGTGGTAAAATTAAAAATTTTGTGCAATTGACTTCAATATAAATTATTAAGGATTAAAACCACAATTCAAGGATTAAAAGCACAAGCTTCATCAAAATCGGTTCACCTAGAAAAAAGTTATGAGGTAACACACATAAAAAACATACAGTCGAGTTGAGTACCTCCTGCTTTTTGAAGTCGGTTAAATAAAAGTCTAAAGCATTTTGCTTCACATATTTTTCGGATGACTTCTTTATTGAAAAACTCTAGTTTAAACCATTTTTTTCTTAGTAATGAGGCGCTGTTTGTTTTCATCAAAACGTATTCTTTTTAAAAAAGAAATACAAACAAAGTAAACATACAAACAGATTGTAGAAGACAAAAGAGTTTGACAATAGTAGCGATTGAATAGTATGATTTTTGTACATACAGTTTCTTCGACACGTTAAAGAGTCTTTTATGATAGTTCCATTCCTCCATTAACCTAAATAGTATTGACAAATATAGTTCTAGATTTAATGAATACGCAGGAAAGAAAACTTTTTTCATAGTGATTCTCTTATATATGGGATTGCGTCATGGATTTAAAATTACGATTATTAATAGAATCAGGCGTTACTTTGCGGTAATGTGTTATATTTAAAGATCATCATCATTACTATACTTGGGGAGTGCTTTTAGCCGGGGTGGAAGATGTGATTTAGATGTGGACAGGCGTGTCGCTGCCGGGAACAAAGTCAATGGTGCCCTGACTGCGTTAGTCAAAAGGCAAGGCGTAGCGAAGAGTGCACGCCTTGCAATACATAACGCAGTGTTGGTACCGACTTTGTTATATGGCAGCGAAACCTGGGTATGCCAGAAGAAGCATAAAAGCAAGTTGAATGCAGTGGAGATGCGATCTCTTCGTAAAATGTGCGGCGTTACCATGGCCGACCGAAAGCGAAACGAAGAGATTCGCAATATGGCAGGTTTGAAAGATGACCTAATAACATGATATTACTATGATATTAAAGATCATCATTACTATGATGATCTTTAATATCATAGTAATATCATGTATATATATATATCATATAAACTTTAATATCATATAATATTATATTAAAGATGATGAAATAACTTTTAACTAAAAAACAACCTACCTCAAATAGCTAAAAAGGAAGTTAATTATTTGCTGCGCTTAAGGGTAGAACTTTTTCTTCCAATTTATATAAGACGGCCCTTAAAGTATAACATGTTTAATAAAAAAAGGATCATTAAAATCTGTACTCAATCTGCGAAGATATCATATGAAATTCCTTAAACAATAGTCCAATATGAAACTTTTTTCCGAATTTCCAACTTTGAGGTACAGCTTATATAATAAAAAAAGAATCATCAAAAAGGGTTCACAATCAGCGAAGATATCGCGTAACATACATACAAAAAAATAAACGAAAATGATCTTTCTTACCTAGTTTGAAAAGTAATTACACAAACTATATTATATAATATATTGGTTCTCAGTATCGATCGTTAATAAAAAATTGACACACAATCCCATGCAAAATTTTCTAAAAACTGTCGCCAATTGTTTTGAAAAATTATTAACGTAAATTATTATTTTTGGTAAATTATTAACGTCCTGCATGGCTGACTTACCTGTGTGTGTATGTGTGTATGTATGGCTGCGAGCGCGCGCGCGCGCGTGGGTGTATGTGTGTGTGTGAATGCGTACGTACGTGCGTGTCATTTTACTTTCTCCGTCCACCTAGCTGTACTATTATTATTAATTTGTGATTTTTCTAATATCTGTGATATGGATCTCATTTGTTATCCGAAATAAAGATTTATTATTATTATTTGACGTAATTCTAGTAAAATAAATATACACTAATGTAAATTCAACCTTAAACGCATTCCCTAAAGTTGTATTCACAAACCTAAAGTTGTATTCACAAAGCTACGTACAAATTAAAAGCGCACCCAAATGTTCGAGTGGGCGCTCATTCGGTAAGGACATTTTTGTCACTGATGATCCTCAGAGGTGATAACGCATCTTTAGCCTTATTTGTTTGAATTTGGCAGCAGTTATACATTGGCTGCAGTTGTCACTTTCAATCAAGTCGACTGTCAGTACGTTTGTTACTTCAGTTTTATTTATATTTCATTAGTACAAGTGTGGACCGAACCCGAGTTGCTCGGCTAATGTAAAATTTAGGGCAATCGCTTAGTGCGTTATCTCGGCTACTAAATAAATAAATATAATCTTATACGGTGCAACTCAATAAATATATAATATACTAGCTGTGCCCCGCGGTTTCACCCGCGTCATTACGTGTCGGAGGTGCGCGACATGACCTAGTTCAAGCATTTTATAATTGCAATTAAATATTTTATTTGATAGCAATGGATGGAAAAATTGGCATAATTAATGGAGTACTTTTATCTGTCGGCATATTATGTATGAATGTATGATGTAGAGCGAAGTTAAGTTTTATCCACTTGCCCTCCCCCTCCCGGTTGAGCAGTTCTCGCAGTTCTCACCGGGCGGCTAGGGTTTATGTGTCGTTCGCGCGCCTAGCCAAGTATTTAATTATTTTAATTTTACATTATCTCTTAAACTATGCGTCCAAATAACATGGTATAAGGAACAAAGTTTATCTTCATAAAATTGTCTTGATGATGAAGTAACTTGCGTTCGTAAACATAAATAGGCCATGCATAATAATAACGCTCATAAATCACTTTTAAATTTGCAATATTTTTTGTCACAAAATACCTAATTATGGCTTATGTATAAGAAATAGACATATGGTATCGCGGGCTTTTTTTTAGATGGAGTAAAGATCTATATTTTTTCTAGAACATTGTATTTACATATCCCTAACGATAACACCAGCGTACCCGGATAAATCATTTCGGGAGCGCTTTTTCTTCTGACTTGCTCAACAAATATCCATATTTAAGGCTAGCTGAGTGATATAGCTTAATGCTAGATAGCCTATACTATTTCACATGAATCTGGCTATAATATACAAAAAGAATTTTTCAAATCGGACTGGTAGTTCCAGAGATTAGCGCGTTTAAACAAACAAAAAAACAAAAAAACTCTTCCGCTTTATTATATTAGTATAGATTAATAATAATAAAAAATCCCTGCGCTAATGACTTTTTCTGCCACCAGGGCGGCGCCACTAGTATGTGAGGTATAATATTTGACAGATTTCATAGCGGGGAAGTTATTGTTTCTTTTTGAAATATTAGCTATATTTTATATTAATATTAGCTAATATTTAGCTCACGGGTGACAACGCATCTGCATTTTGATTATTTATTGAGGATAAATGTAGATGTCTATGGGTCACAGCAACCATTTACCATCAGGTAGAATGTATGCTCGTTTGTCACCCTATCCTATAAAAAAAAACTATTTGTATGGCCTACAATTAATTGTTTGGGGTCTGAATGTTTCTCCTTGTGAAATCGCATTAAAAATTACCATTGATGCAATTTACACTTAAAGTACCTACTTAGTTTTCAAATTAAGGAAATATTGAGTATAAGCTGTATAAGCTATTTATAATCTGTTGCGTTATATAAATTAAAGCCATTATGCAATACATTACATTACCAATATATCTTCCGCCATTTCAGAATTACAAACGACACGATAATATTAACTGTCCGCAAAATGGTACAACACTCAATAGTTTCTTTGGTCTTTAATTTAATGAGGTTAGGGACGAAAATAGCATGGTGCAAGCACTAATATAAATTTGTCGAGGGGGATAAAATGTGAGGCAGTGTGTCGGACGTTGACCTCCCCAAATGTTCAGTACAATCTAGCTGACGCTTTTGGATAAAGTGGTTAATGATGCGACCATTTCATTTGAGGTCGATATCGATATGTTTATAGATTTACAAAAAAAAACTTGCGTGAGACATGAACCATCATCTAGTCGTTAACAGTCATACTGGCTTGCTTGTCCATAGTTAGAAGGATTGTCATGTTTTCAAAGAAGTGACAAACGGGCACACAGACCATCTGATGGTAAGTGGATACTTTAGCCCATAGACATGTGTATCTATCTTCAATTAAGAACCAAAATGCAGATGCGTTGTCACACCTGAGTCTTTTCTCTTACCATACACATAAGAGCATTATCACAGTTCAAAGATAGTCTAACAATTCTAAAATGCATTTGATGTAAACGTCGCAAATATGCAAGGGGTTGTCACGAAATTGGGAATAAAGTAATTTTGGATGTATATTAACATTATGTGCATACTTATAATTTAAAAACATTTATTGAACACGATCATTTTTTATTACTACCAGAAAAAATATATTTACGAATGTTGTGTGCTATTTTCGTGACACTTTCTTTTTATAGATGCTTTCAGATTTCAATTATTAAATTTAATTATGCAGTGTATTCGCATTTGAATAAACAATTTTATCAAAAAAAAAATTAGGGAATCAAGAATGATCGTCATTTGAAATTAACTTTACTTAGTAACTTATATAAGTATAACAGTAGTCCACCATTATAGATATTATATTTTTTAAAAACGGCACTTAAATTAATTAAATAAGTACCATAAAATATGCTCACCACAACCGCATAAATGTTGCTCTGCACAAGTACATTCGTTTCCCAATTGTGAGACTATCTTTAAACTGAGGCACTATGTTGCTAATTTACGTTGGCTTTAATTCTGTGAGAGCGTGGTCCTTCTGAGCGTGGTTCTCCCCTGATCGAGCCAATGTATTCGTGCTAAAATTATAATATAGCTGCAGCATGGCTCTGCCACGAAAAATAATTTATTATTATGCGTGGTATTGCTGACTTAATATACTGATCATATACCAAACGTCAGACGTTACGTATCTTTCTTCCCATACCTATCTTTGTCGATGTTTTCTGGTATATGAAAACTAAGAAACACCAAAAATTATTTTGGCCTACGATTTATGTAGTTATATAGTACTCTAAGTTATACTATTATAAAACGACTACAAGCAATTTTGGTGAGATTATATATATAAATACGTTATACATTTTGGTTTAAAATTAGCTGCGTTAAACGGCGAGTGGTTTCTCCTAGTTCAGAGGTATCTATCACAGAATTATTTACCAGATATCATTTATTTGGAATTAGATTTTTCTAGCGACTTTTAATATCTAAATAATTTACATTTGCCTTCATCGATGAAACATCGTAATAATTTTATTTTTATCGAAAAATAAATCTATCGATACTGTCGATATATTTTATTCCGTCGATATCATTTAATAAGTTAACGCACCTTCCACACCATCCCAGCTACACACGATGTTTGAAACATTGATCGATTTCGTACAGCTCTGTGTGCTGAGAGCATTTACATCCCGTTCATACACATCTCCATACCACCCGGGTGTTGTCGACCTTTTTTTATTGCTATTGATATTTTTAGTCTGTTTCCGGATTCCGAACGTCTACTGTTGATTTATTGACGCCTGGTATATTTTACACGTGTTTCGGGTTCTACGACCCTTGGTTAAATTGTTGAATTAAAGCACTATATTTATTAAACGAGGTAGACAAAGTAGGTGTCGATAGATAGTATAAACACGCATTTATACTGATATAACCGTGTCCGATTCAACGCTTAAGTAATATAGCAATAAAAGGTGCCTAGACTTGGATGAAAATTACGGCCTAGAATACTTTTACTTCACGTCTAGACAGGTGCTTGCTCGTTAAACGCAAGGCTGGTTCTGATGTCACCTAGCAGCTTTAGAGTCAATGGAAAAGACCAACTTTATTGGTTACCTGGGCTGGACACAGGCGCGAAATAGCCAGCCTTTCCGTGTTCTACAGTATTCCAGGAAAATGGAAACCGGAGACTCTATTTACTGGAAACGAGGCATTTCATCTTAGTCTTTAGGAACACATCTGCATTTTTATTCTTAATCGAGGTTTACTGTTAATATCTATCGACCACAGCACCTACTTACTATCAGATGGACTGTGTGCTCGTTTGTCCTATGTTCAGCGGAGAACTTTTAAAGGCTATTTTAAAAAATCATGAAGTATTAATCAATGATAAACTAAAACATCCATTAATTTCAAAATTGTTTTCAAACACAGATCCTGGCTGCACTGGCGGTGTCCCTTGGACCTTTTGCGGCTGGTCTAAGTAAGGGATACATGTCTCCGGCGATCGCTTCCATGCAAGAGTTGGAGCATACGAACTCCTCCTTCACAGTAAGCGATCAGCAGGCCAGTTGGATTGCGAGCCTTAGTTTGTTGGGTAAGTTTCGTTAAATATTTTTTATTTTGTTACCTTTTCATTATTTACTAGCTAGTACCAGGCGCGCAGATGCCGCAGAAGAAATAATTGTGACGATATCGTTTTAAATTTGGAAGAGTTATATTGTTTAATTAGGAATGATAATACAATCATTTAAATTGAATGATATACCTATTATACATTTCAAATACGAGTATATTTGTCGGTACGTATAAGGGCTATATTACTGGTATAGTTGTACGAGCACTCGTAGCACGAATGGCGCGGCTCGATCGTAGAAGGACCATGCTCTCACAGAATACCAGCGTAAAATAGCAGCTTAACGCTGCCGTGTTTCGTATGGTGAGTGTAGAGAACCGGAGACCCTTTTTACTGGAAACGAGGCGTTCCATCTTAGTTCTCACGAGTGACAAATCATCTGCATTTTGATTCTTAATTGACGATAAATGTAGAGGTCTATGATCCACAGCATCCACTCACCATCAGGTGGACTGTGTGCTCGTTTGTCACCCTTATTATATAAAAAAAAATTATATACATATGTACATAAAACATCGCTAAGCGAACTATGGAGAGAGCTGTGCTCTTTTATGTTCCCCTAGTACTAAGTAAGTCTATAAAAGCTGTGTGCAGGCATAATCCCGACCCGATGAACCTTTCTTTCTAATATGTGTGAGTATTTTCTTTGTCGTCCAAGCGTAAATAATTGCAACAGTGCGTAGATAAATTAATAAACAGAGCATGCAATGATAAAAAGCTCGTGATCTGTGATTACTTTTGTAGCGTTTCGGTTTAGGTATGTGAAATTAAAAATAAAATGTCCGTTACGGAAGCGGCAGATGTGAAACATCATAGTTGAAACTCATAAATAAATATAGTTAAATAAAATGAAAAGAGACACACGCTGTACAGAACTCACACAGAAAAGCAACGAAGTGTATCGTATACGCGCACGCACAAACGAAGGGGTCACGAGCGGCGGCGTAGAGGTGGCATGACGACATAAGAGAGCGTCATGTCATTTGTCGTCACGGCATACGAGTCGATTTTGCTGCGAAGGTGCGCCAATAGATGTTTCACATCAAAAATAATTTAGGTCTTCGATATTAAACCATATAGGTTCACAGTTAGGCATGGGTCTCTTCCTTATAGGCACGATTTGCGTTAATCATCACGCTAGGTAAGCGGATAAACCATCGCAGTACCTGAATGCAGTAAGTGTATGCTGTGGCCTATTTATGTACCTCCATACTCCATTAAACATTAAAAATGAATGTGCGTTGACATTCTTAAAAACTAAGATGATATGTCGCGTTTGCCGTAAAAAGGTCTATGATTATTTACACTCAACACAGCAACACTTTGCTATTATTTTACGCTGATATTCTGTGCGAGCTTGGTCCTGGCTTGCTTAAGCCAACCCATTAGTGTTGCAGCACCTTTTATATTTTTATAACCACACTGCAGTGGGTTGCATTTCATCAGTCGCCAAAGCTTAGTATGTTAGCACAATGCATCGCATGCGGTTGAAATTAGGAAAATGTACATAAAAATTTTATTTAATGGACGTAAGGGTGGCAAACTAGCACACAATCAACGTAATGGTAATTGGACCATCTAGTCCAGGGGTGGCGAACCTTTTTGTATCAAAATACTATTTTTGTAAAGAAATATTTAATGGGGCCATAGGCGTGCCGTAAAATAATTGTGACTTTGTGGTTACCACCGCGCCCGAACACTCCGTAGCGTAGGATCACTCGCGTTCGTTTGTGATCGGTTGCGTGCCCAAAATATTGTGACGCGTGCCATCGATCGATTGGTTGGCCATCCTTGCTCTAGTCCATAGACACAAACTTCTGTCATTGCAAATAAGAATCAAAATGCGGATACGTCGTCACCCGTGAGGACTAGGATGGAATGCTTCGGTTCCAGTAAAAAGGGTCTCCGGTTCTCTACACTCACCATACGAAACACAGCAGCGTTAGGCTGCTATTTTACATTGGTATTCTGTGAGTGCGTGGCTTACAGCCGACCTATTCTTACTAATACCATAATATAGCTGCAGCGTTTCTCTACCACGTATAAAAAATATTATATCATTAGACAATTCAATGTCTATGCACATAGGTGGATTTAGATTACATATAATTTTTTTTTATAGGATAAAGGTGACAAACAAGCATACAGTCCACCTGATGGTAAGTGGTTGCTGTAGCCCATAGATATCTACATCTATCGATTACAAATCAAAATGCAGATGCGTCGTCACCCGTGAGGACTAAGATGGAATGCCTCGGTTCCAGTAAAAAGGGTCTCCGGTTATCTACACTCACCATACGAAACACAGCAGTGTTAAGCCGCTATTTTACGCTGGTATTCTGTGAGGGCGTGGTCCTTCCCCGATCGAGCTGACCCATTCGTGCTACAACTATTATCACTAATATAGCTAGCTGCAGCATGGGTCTACCACGTCAAAAAAATGATATATTTCTTATTTTAAGTACGATATAAAATTGTAGATTTCTAGTATAAAAAAACATCATTTCTTGTTTTTATGCCCAATTTTTATACTTTCGTTGCCGGCAGTGATTTATTAGACTTAACATTACTTAACATCTTTATCAGTAATGAATGGATTGTTTACGAATTCTAAGCAGGACACGGAATGCATTTTAACTAGGATAAGGCACCTTACTATTGCACCTGGTAAGACATGACAGCGCACAGATTATAAATGTACAGATAAAACATAATATAAATTTTATTCATATAAATATATAAAATATGTATTACACTATGTTATACTATGTTTTTGTGTAGGTTTGAGTTTTCCTTTTAAGGGTTCCGTACCCGAAGGGTAACCAACGGAACCCTAAGCCTCCGCTGTCCGTTTGTCTGTCAGCGGGCTGTTTCTCATGATCCGTAAAAGTTAGACAGTTGAAATTTTCACAGAATATGTATTTCTGTTGCCACTATAACGTATTTTGTTTTGGCTTTTTTGCTCGATCTTAATAATGCTATATTCGCTAAAAATATAATAAATTATAGTTAAAAAATACCTACATAGTGTTGAATCTTATACGATGGAACGGAACCCTTCATGCGTGACTCCGACTCTACCTTGGCTGTTTTTTTTATTTTGTACTGGCTGTACTGGCGGCTTCGCTGGCGTGGGATTCGGTTTTTGACAAAGATATGTTGTTAGTAATGGGAGTGGTATAGATGAGCACTAATCTCATCCCTTGCATCGTACCTTTGAGTTGAAAAGATAAAGAATCTAAGGATGTATATTTAAATTTCTATCTTCAAAGACTACGGAGACATCGTATGTGGCCCCTTAGCCCCTTATGAATGAAACAGACAAAATTCATATGAAATCCCCGTCAACACGTGTTAGGGCAGCGCAGTGGCCACTTCCTTGCCCTAAAACCTTCTCAGAAATGAGAGGAGGACTGTGACCAGGAGTGGAACGTACGTATTTAGTTTGATTTTTTGACATCCTACTGCTGGAAATATGCCTCTTGTCTATCTGAGAGACTTTTTGAAGCAGGATAGTCAGTTGCACTGTCTAAGTCCATGTTACTGTATTATTATATATACCATAAATTTATAAAAACATTGTAAAAACCAAACCACATCATGACTCTCTATCGTTAAACTACTCTGTGCAATATGCTATTGTTCGTTGTATTTTATGCTATACGCATACATAACGCCAAGTTTTAATAAAACATATTTTGTTCTAACTATGCAGTTACAAGTAACTTTCGTGTTCGGTCATATTACCTTTAGCTTCATTCACCTGGAAGAAATTATTAATGGACTATATTCTACATTCGCTTTAATAATAATAATGTCCTCCAGACCGAAATCTGTCACGTCTGCTAGCCTTAACGGAGACTAGCCATCGGCGCAGGACAGGATTATAGTGTCAGAGTGCACTCTATTCCCTCACTTTCATAGTCCGATGGGACGGTAAACCGACACGACCGAAGAGAGATCAGGCGCTGGAACAACGGCTTTACGTGTTTTCTTATGCACGGGGGTGAGACATCACCAACTTCCTGACTACGGGCAGCAACTGAGAATTTCTTGATGAAAAAGATTTTTTGGCCCGACCGGGGATTCGAACCCGGGACCTCATGATCAGCAGTCGCACTACAACCACTAAACCAATGAGGCGTTCTTTGGCTTATCTGTACATAGATTAAAAATTATAATTTATCTTCATTTGTATCGGCGGAGCTAGCTCGCGTACTGTCAAATTCACAGCGGACGTTTAGCCTCTGAACTACCACCACGGCTCTATTACCTAGGTTTATTTATATCTATATTCTATACCTTTTAACTTTTGCTTGCATCCTAATATTTATGTAAATTAACGGTGGGGATGTGGCGCTGAGCTAATGCACAGGTGTCCTAGTTCGGCGGCAGATGCTATGTTTCAAATATATGTACGAAATTAGCTTTATTAAGTGTTAAGCAAATATCTGGTTGTACTACCTTTTGGAAATAAAGAAATTATTACACCATTACATCATACAAAATTACATTTATAGAAAACTTTAAATAGAACACATGCATCTATGAATGATAAAACTAACGATGTGCTGTGTCGAAACGAAGATCCGTGTCACAATACTGTAGGTAAACCGATCAAACCAATGACTATTCGCGTTTCACATACATGTAATGCATGCTTCACACCTGACGATTTACGTCGACGCTAATGAATCTAATACGATTAATATTTTATTTTTATTTTTTATAGAATAATCCTGACAGTCCACATGATTATAAGTGGATGCTGATATCCATAGACCTCTACATTCCTCGATTCAGAATCGAAATGCATTATGCTTTTTTCTTCTGTGGACTAAGATAGAAAGCCCCGTTACCAGTAATAACCGGCCAAGTGCGAGTCGGACTCGTGCATGAAGGATTCCGTACCATCGTAATACATGTTTCTAGTTGGGGAGCCCCTTTTAATTTTTAATTTA